TCAACCAGGTTTAGGAAATCCATCTATCATACGTCTAAGAAGCAGTCTCAAGTAAACAAGAGGTGTGCCACATGATTAAGTAACAAGGTACAGGATAACACGGGGTGAGGCACCTACTGAGCACAAATGTTCCTTTGCCTCATACTCCCCAGGTTTCAGTTATGTGGGCAAGAAAATGAGGGTTAAGGTGCCTTGGAGGAGAAAGAACATCAGACATTTAAACCCCAATGAAACTGAGCCCAGTGGACACTTGCTTTCAGCCAGGGTGTTAGCTGTCACTTGTAACTTCTCCACGGTGCACACAAAGACATGTCTGCCTCTACCCCATCCTGTACTTTACCTGCATTGACGCTTACTGCATTTTATTACTCATTGTTAAACTGCAGAAGCACATGAGTGACTTGTATATTGTTTATCCTTTCTCCTCATCACCTAGCATACATGGAGACTTTTTAAAAAGATATTTGCAGTAGACAGAAACAGTAGGGAGTCGGGGAGTGAGAGTGGTCAGTGTACATGATATAAATGAAAAAAAAATTGTACAAATAAATAAAAAGAATTTTTTAAAGATATTTGCTTTAAAAAGTACCATGGAACAAACTGCCTGACTAGTTTTTTGGGTTTTTTTTGTTTTGTTTTGTTTGGTTTGGTTTTCTTTTGTCTTTTTGAGACAGGGTCTCCCTGTAGCCCCAGCTGTCCTGGATTCACTATGGAGACCAGGCTGGCCTCAAAGTCACAGAGATCCACCTGCCTCTGCCTCCTGAGTGCTAGGATTAAAGGCATGCACCACCACGCCTGGCCCTGACTAGTATTTTGTAAAGGCATCAACGTTATCAAATGCAAAGTCTGAGAAGCTTTCAGAGGCACAAGAAGCCTAAGGAGATGAACAATTGAATTATAACATGGAGTTCTGAAACAGAACATTAGGTTTAACATTTTTTAAAAAAAGGAAAAAAACCTGAGCGAAGAATGGGCATTAATTAATAGCAATGTATCAACATGGTTCATTAACTGTGACAAGTGTATCATGCTAATGTAAGATGTTAATTATAAAGAAAATTGGGTGTGGAATGTATGGGAACTCTCTGTACCATATCAGCAATTATTCTATACATCTGAAACTCTTCTCAAACAAAAATGTTTAATGAAATTCTGGATGATCAGCAAGCACCTTGATCCCCTCTCCCTTCCCAGCAAGAGGTTCATCTTTGGTCTGACCTCACTGCTCTATGTGTTGTCAATAAGAAAAGATCTTTCCTTTCTAAGCCTCAACATATTTGCACCTGACAGTAAAAAGCTGGAATTCTGGATCTGCCTCTGCCACCTTCCCACTGCATGGCCTTGTGTAAACTAGTCTCTTTTCTTTCTTCATGAGCCTCAGTTTATCTATCTAGTTAATGACAAAAATAAGGTTACGAGACTCTTCAAATTGTTCCACAGGCAGGGTGGAATCTGGTTTGCCACGGTTATTCTAAGATAGTCCCAGGCAAATAGTAGGTACTGAGTAAAAGTTTGTTGAACTAATATGCTATGATATGGCTTAGACATGGTTGGTCCCTGCCAAAACTCATATTGGGACTTAATTACCAAAACATGCAGCTCAGAAGGTGAGTGGGATCTTTGGGAGGTTCACAAGGATATTCTCATGATGAATGGGTTAAAGTCAATTTCAAGTGACTAGGTGAGATTCCCTTGAGATTGGATTAGGTTTTACAGGAGTAAGCTAGGTCTTGTAGGGATTGGATTAGTGACTGGAGCGTGAGCTGTTATATGGTACCCCAATGTGTTCTGGCCCTTCTTAATGCAACCATCTGCCCTTCCACTTCTCCACCATGAATTGATGGGGAAATTCACAAAAAGACAAGCAGATGATGCAAGCATCACATTCTTGAACCTCCACAGCCATGACCTACAAAAATCTATTTTCTTTATACATTAATCAACCTAGAGTATTTTATTATGGCAACACAGAATGGGACTAGGACTTTCTACATACATGTATGATATAGATCTATATCACTGGTCTACTATTTCAACAGCTTAACAGTAAATGGAAACTTCTAGGATCTGTCCAACATCTCAAAATTGTCTTGGAAGAGCTGTACTCTGTGGCTCAGGCCCTGGAAGCTGCCAACTCCTGGGAGCTCAGATAGAGTGGTCAGCTAGCTTTTGAAACTAGGTCTTGTCATGCTGGGTTTCACACTGGCTTCTGGAAGTAAGGTTCTTCCCAAGGGTCCCATCTACCTCTTGTCAGCATCTTTTTCCAACAAGTTCAGAGTGAGAGGGTCCCAAACTCCCCAGCCCTTGGTTAGGATCCCCTGACAGATGACATGGAGGAAGACAACCACAGCTGGCAAAGACAGAAGAAACCGGAATCCACCAAAACTAAAATGCTTAAGTGTCTGTCCCAACTCCCAAAGTATACAGAGACTTGGATTTTAGTTCTAGCCCCAGATCTTCTTGGCATTTATACATTAATCAACCTAGGGTACATTAAGGAAACACAGAATGGACTAAGACTTGATGATAGATAGATGATAGATGATAGATAGATAGATAGATAGATAGATAGATAGATAGATGATAGATAGATAGATAGATGATAGATAGATGGATGGATAGATAGATAGATAGATGATAGATAGATGATTGGATAGATAGATAGATAGATGATAGATAGATGGATAGATAGATGATAAATAGATGATAGATAGATAGATAGATGATAAATAGATGATAGATAGATAGATAGATAGATAGATAGATAGATAGATAGATGATAGATAGATAGATAGATAGATAGATAGATAGATAGATAGATGATAGATCTTTGTGGCTCAAGCATGTCTTTGTGACTGGCCAGCCCACTTTCTAGACTTGGGGTGGTAGTGGGTGAAACAAGAAGGCAGGTTCTAACTCCTCAGAGGAGCTGTACCCTTCCTTATCCCTGGGCATTTCTTCTGCCAAGAACACTTCCCCATTAACAGCTCACGCTCCAGAGAGCAGGTTTCTGGCACACCCTGACATCTCCCCAGCTGCCCTGCCTAGACTGATTCTGTAGCCTCCATCATGGGCTCTCAGAATACTGAGTGCCTTCCCTTTCTCAGAGCTGACCCTGTCATCAGTCACTGCACTGTCTCTACCAGCAGCCTGGGAAGCCATCGTCTGGTCACTGTTCCATCCTATCCAGCACAAGCTTAGTATATAAATGAGTCAGTACTTACAGGGGTGTTTAAATGAAGAAAGGTATGAGCAAGTAAACTATCAAATGATCTATAACTTTATGGTATTTGGGATAACTTAACTCAAAAGTCACCGGAGGATTTTAACATCTGTATTAAAAGAAAAGAAAAACTCAGCTCCTTGCTATAGTCATAAAACCCTGAAGGGCTTTCCCTGGTGTGTTTATGAAGAAAAGCAAGTTTTGATGCTCGGTCCTCAGTGTCCATCTCTTTCTCCTCTTCTTTCTCCTTCCCAGCTAGTCTCTCTCTCTCTCTCTCTCTCTCTCTCTCTCTCTCTCTCTCCCTCTCAACAATTTGCTCCCTGTTCGCTCTGCCCGTTACTGTGTCTCCTTCATGCATTTTCATCATCCTTGGCAATTCAGTATCTCTTCTGCTCCAGTGTCCAGGTTTACCAGTCATCTTATAGATAAGAGTACAAGTTACCTTCCCAACCACCTGGTGCTGTTTCATCTGTACTTTTGGAGAAGCTGCAGTGTACCAAGTCAAGAATGTGAGTTTTAGGGGCTGGAGAGATGGCTCAGCAGTTAAGTACACCAGCTGCTCTTGCAGAGGACCGGGGTTCAATTCTCACCCACGTGGCAGCTAACAATCATTCATAACTCCAGTTCCCAGGGAATCCAATACCCCCTTCTGACCTCCGTGGGCATTGCATGACACAAGTGCACTTACATACATGCCAGCAATATACTCATACACATAAAATAAAAATAATAAATAATTTTTTAAAAGAATATGAACTTTGGAGTTAGAGTCATAGTCTCTCTCAGTTTTCTTATCAACAAAATAAAGTATGTATGCCCCTATCAGAAGATGGTTGCCAGGATTAAAGGAGATAGTGCTTGAAAAATGCTTAGCACACTGGTAAAACTTCATAAAGGCAAGCCCTGCCCCCCTCATTTGCTGCCAATTCCTTTGTGATGACTGCTTTATGTAACATGAAAAATTATTAACCCCAGGAAGGCCTTCCTTGAAGAATTTTTCCCCCCCAAAGATCATTCTAGCCCCTTCCTTCTCCAAATCACCCAGGGATAGTTTTCTCTTTCTCTGATTGTCTGGTCTTTGTGCTCACTTTAATTCAGGAAGAATCTATCTGAATGAGTCATCCCTAAGCCTGATCTTCCCCAGAAACCATCTGGGCTACTTTCAGCAGTTGTGACCATCAAGAATGAGTCCAAGAGATTCTGATGCCATAGGTCTGGGGTAACAACCAGGGACAGGCATTTTCAAAAAAACATTCAAGTGTCTGGGATTGGAGAACAGAGATTCAAGCATCTGACCTAAACTGGATGGCTTCCCAAGCGATAGTGAATCAATCAGTCAATGGGTGGGAACAAATTAATAGAGATAAATAAATGAACGATTCCATTGGAGATAATAATAATGGGAGGTAAGAATGGATTGATGGATGGATGGATGGTCTACTTAAGTGGGAAGAATGATTTTATCTTCCCCCAGCGCTATCTAAGTTCTAGTCTCAAAAACTTGGGCCCATTTGTTCTATGGCTTTCAGAACCCTGTCTTTCATTTCCTTTTCTAGCCCTTATCTTTTCCCTTTCCTGATGCCTACTTCCTCCATCTGCTCACAGACCCCCTTCCCTTCCAGCTGCCCACTTCATTCTCCTTTTGGCTCTCACTGCAGCCCCTCCACATGCCCCCAACCTCAACTGAAATATTTACAAACTGCAAGTTCTTGTCCTTATCCCAAGGAACCTTCAAGTGAGAAAGCTTTAGACACAGCAGTTACTCAAAACAGTTTTATTTGATGAACCACAGTGGCTAACATGATCAAAGAGAGCACAGGCATGGTGAAGAGGTGAGAGTGCAAAGAGGTGGCCTCCTCTGCTATCTTTTCTATGCCGTGGATGAATTTCTATGAAGCTCAGTGCACCTTCCTGTCACCTTCTGTACTTGTACTGGATGCTTTGAGAGCAGCCCTGGGCAGAGAAAGTGTCTCTGTGACAAGTTCTGGCCTGAGACATACAGAGATTCAAATATGAGAGGAGCTGTTTTCTGCTCCCTCTTCCTCTGCTCCTGGACCAGGCTCTGTGCCAGACATGGTCCATTTGCATCAAGCCAGGCTCTTCCTGACTCTGAGGCACATGTCTTGTCCTCCATTTCCAGAGTCTGCCAAGAACAAAACCCGGAATATGTATGCCCCATTTCCAGCTCACAAAGGCCCCACTATTAATGTTGTCCTTGAGACCTCTCTGGTGGTGTGGACAACATGCCATCAATCTCCATAGCTGCTCCAGTGACTGCTTCCCCACCCCACTCCCCAACCAGCAAGAGAAGCCAAGAGGTTTAGTTCTGATGGTGAGGAGAGCAAAAGTTCACCCTGCACCTTTCACCCCGTGGCAAACAAGTGGCCTCCTCAGGAAGAGGGCCACAGACGCTAGAGAAAGGGAAAGTGGAAAGGAAAATGTTCATAAACTCAAACCCAAGTAGGAAGTGCAGCGGAGGGGCCGTAGGAAGCTTTAATTAGGTTCTTCTTCCCCCATGAAACAGGAGAAGGAAACAGAACCCAGCTCAGTAGGACTTCCCCAAGCCTTGAACACCAGGTGTTACAGGGAAATAGCTCCCCACAGACAGACAGACAGACAGGCACACAGACTTTTTTCCTAAGCACGGTCCGCCAGAGTCTCCCAAATCCAGTGGGGGTGAACTCAATCTATTCTACATTCCCTTCATGTGCCCCTTCTTCCCCAAGTGTAATCTGCAGAGGTACAATGAAGGGGGTGTGGTTTTACCCAAGTTCATTCACGCATGAAGTTCATGTGCTACTCTTCCAAAAACGTGTGTGTGTGTGTGCATATACATCTTCATCCTACCAAGTGACTTGGTGCCAAGTAGCACCAATGCCCAAGGAAAACATCCAGAATGTGAGGGTGATGGAAGAGACCAGGGAAATACCTGCAGTTCACAGTTCTGTGGGAGGTGGAGGGATGAGGATTGGGGGAGGGGAGCCAAGCATCATACAGACTAAATACAGTACCCCTCCAACCTTTCTTCTCTGTTCTCCCTTCCCAGCTCCCCATTCATACAGTGAAACTAAAGGGTCCATAGTTTCATCAACCCCACTGCCTTCCAATTCTCACAAGCAATAAAGAAAGAAGAAATAGACCATGAGACAGTAGTAGGATGTAGATGTGGCTCTGCAAGAGAGAAAGCACTATTCAAGAACCACTCTAGCCCTCTTGGCTGGACAGCTTTGAGGAAGATCCGGAGCTCCTGGCTCTGGGGACTGAAGTGCTAATTCTTTGCCTACACACACAGCCCATCCCGCCCCAACCAATGCCTAGCTGGTTCTCAGAAAACAGGATAAGAGCTCAAAAGCTTCAGGATTCTTAACCCTTAGGAGCCCTGCTGGAGAGAAGGTAAATGGAGGAGGATGGGGTGAAGGAAGGACTGAGGGAGAGGGCTCAAAGAGAAAAGAATGAACTAGCTAGGTGAGGAATTAGCAGAAAAACTTCAGAAATTGAGAGAAACTAAAATGAAAGAGAGAGAAGGAAGAGATAGAACTTTAAGAAATGGGCGGGAGGAAACAAATCATGTCAGACTTGCACTTCAACATTTTAGGGTCGGATTACTTTCCTTCCATTCAAGGAAACTAAGGAACTGGGGCTAAGAGAGCTGAAGAGACTTGTGCAAGGTCAGCCTCAGAGAGAGTGAGCAGCTGAGCACAGGTCTCTTCCTACTAAACCACAAACCTCTGAGAAAGAAAAAAAAAAAAAGGAGAAAAGAGGACAAGGTGGAGCTGGGAGGCAGGGAGCAGGGAGTGAGAAGGTGCGGCACACTACCTGAGTCCCAGGGCCTGCGGGTAAAGTTTTGGCCAGACCCAAGGCACCAGACTTCTCTCTCTGGTCCCAGCCCTAGTCAACAAGAGTCTCTTGGCTATAGGGGATGGATTTCTCATGCATTTGCTCTCCTCCCTTTCCTGGGTTGGGACCCGGCCCCTGGCTATGGCCAGAAGAGTAACTGGCCGACTTCTCCCCACTGCTGCTGTGGGAGGTGCCCCCACATCTGCTCTGGTCACAGCAGAGCACGGAGGTGCAGGCTTTGCGGAAGCGAGGATCAAAGAAGGCGTAGAGGAAGGGGTTGAGGCAGCTGTTGACATAACTGATGCAGGTGCAGTAGGGGAAGACGTTAATGAGGAAGCTGTCGAAGTCGCAGGGCCAGTGCAGCAAGCTGCCCAGCATGTAGAGCGTCTTCACCAGGTGGTAGGGCATCCAGCACAGCGCAAAGGTCACCACCAGCACCACAATGATACTCAGCAGTCGGCGCCGCTTCCGCAGGCCCTCGATGCGCTCCTTGCGGAAATGGCCAGCGATGGTTTGGGCAATGAAGAAGTAACAGGTCAGCATGACGGTAAATGGCACGACAAAGCCAACGGCGGTAGACGACACCCCAAAGCCCACCTCCCAGGCCCACTCTGAGCTTGGGGTGGCCACTATAGAGTAGTCCATGTAGCACTGCACCTTGGTGCTGTTTTCCGCCATCCCAGTGGAGCGGAACACCATGACAGGCACAGCCAAGAGGGCGGCCAGCACCCACAGGACTGCCGTGGCCACAGCCCCACTGACCCGCAGCCTCAGTCGAGCATTGGCCACAGGCCTCACAATGGCCAGGTAGCGGTCAAAGCTGAGACCAGTGAGGCAAAAGACACTGGCATACATGTTCACAAAGATGAGGTAGCTGCTGAGCTTACAGGAGAAGGTCCCAAAGGGCCAGTCGAATTCCCGGTAGGTGTAGGTGGCCCACAAGGGCAGAGTCACCACAAAAGTCAGGTCAGCCACTGCCAGGCTGGCAATGAAGATGTCAGCTGAGCGCCTCTTCTCCCGGCTGCTCCGAAATACAGTCCAGAGCACCAGGCCATTGCCCGTGGTGCCCAGGAGGAAGACCAGCATGTAGATCGCAGGGATGAGAGCCCCAGAGGACTTCCAGTCCGCATACTCACATTCAGACTGGTTGTCAGCCCCATAATAGTTGTCGAAGTTTTCATCTTCTGTCATGCTGGGGAATGAAGAGAAGATGGGCAAGGAGTCCAAGGGGCACCAGCTCCACAGCTGTGTCACCAACTCAGCAGGTAGCCTCAAGTTTGGGCTTGAGGCTCGGAGAATGAGAAGGTCTGAGGGTGCTCAGAGGCCTTCCTGGCATGCAACAGAAGCTGCCTCTGGATGTTCAGCCCCCCAGAGGATGTGTTTCTCCTGCAGACTTCCCTCTACCTTCTCCACTCTGGCCCCAGACTCAGCTAAGACACTCCCTTGCACCCTCCTGAGCCTGTCTCCTCCTTAGCTGGTCATTCCCTCCTCCCACCTCCAAGCCAACCCCTCCCTCACTGTGAGTCTTAAGATCTTTAAGTTACAACCCACTTTTTTTTTTTCTTCTTGTCACTGGGCAACTAGACCAAATTGACCCCTACTGTGCTGAGCTAACAGTTATCTCTGCTTTGCAAGCCTCCTGCCCTTCCTAGCTCCACCTCCCATCTCTGGCTGCCATCCACCCTTACCCCAGACTCCTCTTTCTGGTTTCCTCTGGATACTACCTCCCGCCTACCCTTTGAGGCACCCCCTCCACCCTCCTCTTCTCACTCTCTCCCAGCCCCTCTAAATGGGACAAATTATGTAGATTGAAATCCACTTTGACCTGGAGCCAGGGCTGGCAAGGGGCAGAGAGGGTATAAGATTTCACAGGGGGGGGGGGTCTCAGCTTTCCTGCTTGGTCTTGCACTCCCACCCCACCCCCACCCAGAAGACACTCAGCACAGGGATTCTCTTTGCCCTCTTCTCCCTCCATTCCCCTCCACACCCTGACTTCCACCCTGTCTCTGAGAACGTTTGTAAGCATAAGTGAATTTCTCTAGAATTCATAAGCTACTGGCAGACAGTTTGTAGCTTGCAGAAGGAGCCCTTAGAAAGCTGATGACAAAGTCACAAGAAGAATGAATGAAACTAGGTCAAAATGACCTCAAGCCAAGTCACTGAATCTATGGGAAAACTGAGGCTTAAGGTAAATGTCTTTCCCAAGGTCACAGGGTGAATTTTGTTATGGTTGGCTGTTTACTTTTTTTCTTCTCTAGGCACATATGGAACATAGTTCTGGCATGTCACGGGATCACTGGTTGTTGAGTGAATAAATAAGGGAGCAAGGGAGAAAAAGAGCCTACATATAAAAGAATAAACATATGAATTGCTATGTGGTGAGAATGTGGGTGCAGTTCAGTCCTCCGGTTCTTGCCATGATCCACGCATGGACCAGAGGTTATAAGACCACATGAGTCAGGAAGTTGAGCCAGAGGAAGAGGCAGGAAAAGCAGCAGCCAGTGAGCAGATGAAGTCCCCATCCCATCTGGCCATTTCTCCAGGATCTCCGCAGGAAGAGGGAAGGATGCATAAGATAAGATTTTTCAAATGTACCCCTTCCATCCCAACCCCCCAAAAGGGAGGGAAGCTATATAAATTTAAGCTGGCTTATGGGGGGAGTAGTTTAGTGGTAGAATGTGAGGCTCTGGATTCCATCCCTACTGTGGGGAGGCAGGGGAAGAAGGAAAAGGAGGGAGAAAGAACGAGAGGAAGGGAAGAGAGGAAGGGAGGGAGGGAGGGAGGGAAAAAGTTAGGTTGGGATGAAATGGACCAAACCCAGCTAAATCTTAGTAACCCATGGTAAAGGGTTACAAAGCTGAAACCCGTTTCCTGGGAGGAGAGTAGAACATCCTATGGGGATCTTCAAGTAGAGACCCGCAAACCCAAATACGTACAAGGACCAGGATAAGTATATATATGGATAAAACAGTCAGTTTTGGTTACAGGGAGTAAAAGACTATGACAAACTGGTGTTTTTCTATCAAAGGGCACTAGGCAGTGTGCATGCCTGCAGCTTTCGCTACTCTGGAGGCTGAGGCAAGAGGACCACTTGCATCCAGAAGTTCAGGGCTATCCTGGGCAACACTGAGATTTTTATCTCAAAATTGAAACAGTAAGACAGGAAGCCCCCTTTGCTCAGGTCTCTGGTTGTCATGCAGAAATGTGGACCAGCAGCATTATCAACTTAAGGTTTTTCAAGATAATGTATAATTCTGAATGCATTAGGAATTTCCAGATTTATTAACCGGAAGTATCAATTCTTTTTTTTTTTTTTTGAAAAACAGAAAAAATAATTTTAATTTTATATGGTTTTTTTGGGGTGACTACAAAAATTTTACTAAGTATGATTTTTTTTTTTTTTAAAAAAAAAAAAATAATTTTTAATTTTTTTGGTTTTTTTTTTTTGGTGTAAAAAAATTTTTTAAATTTTTTTTTTTTTTTGTCTTTTAGAGACAGGGCGTCCCTGTAGCCCCAGCTGGCCTGGAACTCACTGTGTAGATCAGGCTCACAGAGATACACCTGCCTCTGACTCCGGAGCACTGGGATTAAAGGTGTGTGTTACCACGCCTGATACAAATTCTTTTTTTTTTTTTTAAGAAATAGCACAAGTGCCAGGGTTGGTGATATACACCTATAATCCCAGCTCTTGAGGGGCAGAAACTGGAGGATCACAAGTTAGGGGCCAGCCTGGATTATGTATCAACACCCATATCAAAACACAGAACAAGGGCTGGAGAGATGGCTCAGGGGTTAAGAACACTTGCTGTTCTTCCAGAGGACCCACATGACAACCAACAACCATCTGCAACTCCATTTCTGGGGGATCTAATGCCCTTTCCGGCCTCTGTGGGCTTTGCACGACACGAGTGCACTTACACACATGCAGGCAATACACTCATACACATAAAATAAAAATAATAATTAAAATATTTTTCAAAAACACAGACCAAGATAAATAAAATGGACCCTAGCATTCCCAGTTGGTGGTTTGGGAACAGGAGCTTCCCAAGAATAGAAGCAGGAGAAACAGAAGAAGAAGAAGCGACATAAAATGTAAAGAAATAGAAATTAAAATTAGCATGGGGAGATACAGGAGAGCTGGAGAGAAAGAAAAGAAAGGCCCTGCGAGTTTCTGGCCACCTTTAGTTAGAGGCAGCAGTGATGGCAATCATCAAAACAACTGTAGGAGTGACCTGGGGAGATGGCATGAGGGCCTGAATTCAGTTCCCCAGCAATCTCCAGCACCCAGGTAAAAAGCCATGCAAAGTAGCATGCATCTGTACTCTCAGTATTAAGTGAGACAAAGACACACAGATATAGGGGCTTGATGGTCAGCCAGTCCAGCAAAAAAATGGTGACAGACTCTGTATCAAAAATAAGGTGGAGATACAATTGAGAAAAACATCTTGATGTTGACCTCTGGCCTCCACACGCACACGCACATGCACATGTACACACTATGCCTATACACATGCAAATGCACACTCACACAAAACTTAAAAATCCCATCCTCTCATCTGGCCCCAACTAAAAGATGAGGAAACTGAGAAACAAGGTGAACTAACTTGGTCACCCACATAGTAATTTGCAGAGACAGAACTGAACCCTAGACTAAACCACCACGTCCCCACCAAAAAGCCTCCACCCATTTTAAAATTGGCATTGCCAAGTGTTAAACATTATAGAAACGGAAGACATAGGATAGCTGTAATTACATTAAAATGGGCTCTTTGGGGTAAGATTAAAATTTATATTTAGAAACACTCCCAACCTTTATTAGACAGGGTAGAAGAATCCTATCGTGCCACAGTTAATCCAAAAGCTGCCCTGTGTCCATCATTGCCAAAGAGAACACCAGGTTCCCTGTGCCTCCTGGAAAGATAACAAGACCCTCTAGAACCTTGGCAGTCTAAAGAACAGTGATCATCACACTTAATTCCATCAAAAACTGGGGCTCCATCAACCTCGCAGTACACAAGCCCACTTGATGCTGCACAGGTAGCAGAAAGGCGCTAAATAACCTGGCAGCCTGGTTGGGTAGGAAAGGCAAACATTCAGTCACTTCAGACTACCAGAAGGGACCTAAGAGTTGTACGGGGAGCGATTTTCTCAGCTCAGAGCAGAATTGACAGTTAAAAAAAAAAAAAAGAAAGAAAGAAAGAAACTCCTGCTGTGGACATTCCAGGGTAAAGACCAATGCTGAGATCCCTAATGACCCCACATCTTCCCTTTTGCTCCCAAGAAGATTCAGGAGCCCAGACCTCTGGCAACTGAGGTCGCAGAAAGAAGCAAGCAAGCTTGCAATGTCCTTGAAACCAAGTCCCTGTCTCTATCTCCCAACTGCCCTACTTGGATCCCAAGCCTGGAGACCCTTGTAGGAGAGAATACAGATGTAGCTCTTTAATCCTCTGACTCAGTTGAAAGGGGAGGGATTTGGGGGCTGGGACAGGGGCCAATGATCTAGGCCTGGGGTGGTAGAGTGCAGATAAGATCAGGCCTCCAGCCAAGAGCCAGCTGGAGCCAGATGGCCTGGGTAACCCCACAGTGTCAGTCTGAAATGAGCATAATCACCCAGGCTCACCCTGTTTGGTACTGATCCATCCCTCTTTTCACTGTACCATCCATTACAGAAGATGAAAGACTAGTAAACAGACCAGAGGCTGAATGCCAGCTTGGTGTGCCCCAGAGCTTAGAAGCTGCCGGTGTACTAGACCTACCCTAGGCCTGGAAGAGATACCTGTCCTCAACTTAGCCTCTGGTAAATGTCTGCTGAAATAAAACATTAAGAATATGCTTAAAGGGATGGTGAGAACTTGGATCTTTACCCCAGGGTCATTCTACTGCAATAGCAAGGGCAACTTTTTGCAACACTGATGCAAAGTAATCTGTTCAGAGCCATCTGGCAAAGCAGCAAAGACTGGACTACTGGCCAGAGACCCTGGGAGAGGCACAAACAGGTTTTCTGGGGGACTTCTCTCTCCTGGGTGACTTCTACAGGGTATTGTGATGAATCAGAGATGAACAGCTTCTGGCAAAAAGCACCCTGGACTTGCTTCATGCCCTTTGAGGAAAGCTTACATTGCTGGAAGAGGGAGAGCTCTGGAGTCAGAGGTTCATCAGTCATCCCCAGTCTTGCCCACAGGCTGGCTACTGACCTAGAAAACAGAGAGTGCCTGGGCCCTGTGCTGTGATGGGTGTGTGCACTTTGTGAGTGCAAGTTTTATGCATGATGTGAGGCCACTTAGATGTGAAGTCACAAGCAGATGCTTGTGATCAGACTGCAGGTATAAATGGCATCAGCTCTGTGAATTCATGTGCATGTGAAGGTGTGCTTGTTTGCACGTGTAATAGGTACACACAACTATGTGTGTAGAATAGTATGCTCGCTCATGCTGGTGTGTGAGTGTGCTCTGGGCACATATTTGCTCCTGTGAGTATGTACTGGATCACACAAGCATGTCCTAGGATCAGGGATCTGGATAAACATCCTGCTTGGAGGACAGGAAAGGATGGTTAATTGGATCTCTCTAAGACTCTGAGATGAGGGGGAAGCTGAGGCACTGGGACATCAAAGTAGAAGTGCTGCC